ATATATATATATATATATATATATATATATATATATATATTTGAAAAAACGCGGCGCGGAAGATCGATTCCCGCTTTTTCGATTATGTTCGTTTTGCGATCGTAGGCCAGGAAACTCAAACTCAAACTGAGAGTAGAAAGATCACGAATGACCATTAATAAAATACCATTTATTCTGATACATCGGTTTATTTCATACCCATCATACGTCGTACAATCTAAGTGTTTATAATCTGTCTGTCCAGAATTCGTAGAGAAATTTTCCAATGCAAAAGCGACAGTATAAAAAATTGGACGACGTCTTCTTAATGCATGGTGTGTCACGTTTTTCCAGTTGTCCGAGATTCGATTCAAAAGTCGAATTTCTTTTAAACTGACTCGCACGGCGCCAGCTGACATCTGGATCGCCGCTGAAGCTTCTTCGGGCAAGGATTTCCTCCGTTTCGTGCCTCTTGCTAAATATGAATTGCCCGAAACATCGACGACAATTATTAACGATTAGAAACTAAATACTTCCATTTCCGACTCACCTCGATTGTACGATAACTAGTGATACGACCTACGCCACACGTGACGCTACAAGGCGACCAAGGCGACCAGCTGCTCACACGACAATGGACAGGTTTCGAGCCGAGTAGCAGGCCATTTTTAGCGTCAGTTTCGTTCAAGGACTGCCCACTGAGGATCGCTCGTACCTGAAAATGAATAAATACTTTCCCCTTCGTTCAGTTGATCTTTCTCGATGATACGAGTCGATACGAACGACCGTACTCACAATACCACAAGTATTGTTGCACTCGTCGGCAGTCAAAAAATTGTTCCTGTTACCACGGCAACCCCCGTAGCCAAAGGGCATGCACGTCAGTTTCTGAGGGACGAACGCCCACCTCTGGAAATAGCCTCTGCAGGGTCCAACATCTGCTTCCTCCATACAGACCACTGTAAAACGCGATTTCGCAAAACATCTTCTCACTTTTCAATGTGTATGCTTTCAGGTTCTCCGTGCATTACATTTTATGAGCAAAGAAGTGATCGCTAAATTGTAAAGAAAGTCGACTATGGAACCCATGTTGAAGGTCAATTATAAAATAAGTAAACAGGACCCCTCGACCTGCCAGACTCCTAGAAGCAATAAGGAACACTACCTGTGGACTATAAAGGACAGTCGGAAGCGCAGGCGGCGGCAATTGAATTCTATCCAGAATAGAG